CAAGAGGCCTCATTTATAGACATACTTTATGTATATAGAAGTGAATATTTGCTACTAACTTTAACTTTGAGCCAGTAAAATTCAGATTAAAGAGAATAATATTGGCTAATGAGCAATAAGGACCGAGGACATTATCGCTATTGCAGTGACACTAACTTTTCGTTACTAATTCAAGCTACTCTCAAATATTATATATTTAGTGAGTCTGTTCATAAAGGTTATTTAGTCCCTGTCTATTGATTTTATGAAATCTTCGTTAGATTTAATGAGCATGCATATTTCGTTTAAACCGCTGATAGCGAACACGCTCTCCGCCAAACGTTCCCCTTCACGTTATGGGATTTGGTGACCTCTCGACTGATTCTGGCTTAGCATGCCTGGACTCATATCTTCTGAAACGGAGCTATATTGACGGGTATGCTTATTTGCATTTATGCTAAGGTTTATTGATTTTTTTATTTCATCTAATTGTGTTCAACTTTTATTCAACGCCGATCAGTTACCAGGCCTCTCAGGCTGATAACACTTTGTTCGAAACCCTGGAAAAACCTCCTCCCAGTAAATACCAAAATTGCCTTCGTTGGTACAACCACATCAAGTCTTTCGGTGACGATAGAAAGAAGCTCCCTGGTGAAAAGAAGACAGCCGACAGTTATGGTGGTAAGCCCCACTACTTCATAATCATCCTCAGCTAGGTTTTTTCACAAATAGGGCCTTGGCTACTTTATCCTGCATAAAGTGATGAATGAATCAGTTGAATTTTCTTGAAATGTTATGAGTAAGCTTCTGCCACCGAAGTTCACCTAACCTTGCTTCTAAAAAATATTCATTATTTGTGAGGCCTACTCTTATCATTGTGTAGTAATTTAATTGTTATCCCCTTTATAATTATATAGTCTAGGGTAACTACCGAGCTGATAGTATCTAAATCTACTTATATGGGTATACTCTTTTATACTTCGAAGACGCCGCTACTTCTAAATCTAACCAGGCCACAGGCGATGACGACCTCGACTTATTCGGATCGGATGAAGAGGATGACACAGAAGTGGCCAAAATGAAGGCTGAGCGTCTTAAGGCTTACGAGGAGAAAAAGAAAGGAAAGGCAGTTGTCGTCGCCAAGTCGAGCATTATTTTGGATGTCAAACCATGGGACAGCGAGACTAACATGGCTGAAGTGGAAAGGACAGTACGAAGCATAAAAACAGATGGGCTACAATGGGGTGCCTCCAAACTGGTTCCTCTTGCTTATGGCATCAAGAAATTACAAATCA